TCCTTTTATTGTATCAACCTTTTTTATTAATGAGGAACTACTTCAATGAGAACCATTTAGAAAGTTCGCTGCTTGTTCTCCCTGAGTTCAATCACCTCCCTTTTAGAATGCCAAGCAGTTATATCAATTTAATGTTAACAAATCTTTCTTCTAAAAGAAAAGGACATATGAATATTTAACCATGACTTTTCTTTTTAATTTATGGGTCTTGGAAGTTATTTTTTCTTATCATGATTGGTTTTTATTTTATAAATACATCATGAAATAAAATTTATTTATATGACATATAAAAGAAAAAAATTAAAAGAACAAATAGAATAATCTCTTTGAGAAAAAAATATTTTTTAATAAAAATAACTACTATTTCAAAAAGGCTAACATGAAAATTTAAAATATTAGAGAGAGTATTAAAAATATTAAAAAAATAATGCAAAGTAAAAAATACACAAAAAATAAAGAAGGTATCAAGTAAAAACTTTTCAAACAATAGTCAAAATAATAATTAAAAAAGTCAGGTATTAAATGGTCAACTTTAAGAAAAAAAGACTCAATTTTATGCCTAAATTGTCTTCTTTTTATATATATTTTTTTTAAAAAAAGATGGTGACATGTTTTTTTATAATATCAGATGATCTATTACTGTCAAAAAATAAGATTCTCATTTTTAAACATTGAAAACTCAATTTTTTAAAAAAAAATTAACCTAAAAACATTTTTAAAACATTATATTAACCTTAAAAAAAAAACTTTACGAACCTCAAACACTCCAAAATCACACTAAAAAGTTAAAAAAAAAAAACCAAATAGAATCTGATTTACTTTTTCTCATCATATTTAAAGAAAAAGAAAATCATCTTCTTTAAATTCCTTTCAAGAAGAGGAATTTATTGACATAAAGTTTTTTTTTCATGTGGCTGAAATTTAGTCATTTAACGACTTCTTCTCTCTTTTATTAGTTTTTGATGAGTTTTTATCCCATATCTCATATCAAGTAACTAAAAAAAAAATCTAAATCAAAATAAAAATTGTAAGAATTTTGATTTTG